CCTATAGTAATAATAATAATAATAATAATAATAATAATAATAAAACTCCAACAAACATCTCAGGAATAAAAGTTTTCGACAGCAATCTTCCAAGGCTGACACAAGCCAACAAATGTATATTTTTTCCTCTTTGAAAACACTGGCGGCCCAGCTGGCGTGGCTCAGTGGTTGAAGGTTGACCTATGTACCAGGAGGTCACGGTTCGATTCCTGGTCAGGGCACATGCCCGGGTTGTAGGCTCGATCCCCAGTGTGGGGCGTGCAGGAGGCAGCCGATCCATGAATCTCTCTCATCATGATGTTTCTCTCTCTCTCTCTCTCTCTCTCTCTCTCTCTCTCTCTCTCTCCCTTCCCCTCTGAAATCAATAAAACACAAAACAAAGCACACAAAACCACCTGAGAATTAAAACCTGAATAACGAACGGTATACACTCGTAGATGAGAGTAAATTGCACAACTATCTTAGGCCTTGAGCAGCAAAGAATGCAACTTTTAATGCAATGCGTGAAAACGTGTTATTTTATACAGCCCTGGTGTGGTAGGCATGAGGTTCCACGGGAAATGTTTAAAAGCCAACGCACCGATTAGGATGGGTTCCTGGGAGTGGGATACAGACCACAGCACGGGTGGACTAGGTGATGTTTTTTTATTTTAATTTCCCATTCCAACCTTTTTAAAGAAATTGATTTCAGACAGGAATGGGGGAGGGGGAGAGAAACATCCGTGATGAGAGAGAATCACGGATCGGCTGCCTCCTGCACGCCCCACACTGGGGATGGAGCCCGAAACCCGGGCATGTGCCCTGAGCGGGAATCAAACCCTGACCTCCTGGTTCCTAGATTCGACCCTCCACCCCTTAGCCACGTGGGGCGGGCAGAAATATTAGTCTTTTTCTTTCTTTTTTCCACCTTAAGGCTTATCGTCTTCCTCGGGTTCCCTCCAGCTGCCACAGTCATGTATGATGTCATCTCGGACCACATGGCATGCCTGCCTGACCGCGCCGTCTCCCCACATGTTGTTCTGTTATTTTAGCGGGAGCCGCCGGCGTGGCTTTCATTCCTCTCTCCTCTCGGGCCGCCTGTGGTCTGGCCACAGGGCTGTAAAACCACCCACAGCTCACGGAAATGAGACGATGCAGCTCCGAGCACGACGGCGCGTCAGACCCACAGACGGTCCTGAATTCCAGGATCCAGGGCACCGTGAGTCTGGGGATCGCAAATTCTCGGAAGCGCAAGGTTTCGAAAATGTGTTCTCAAAGAATTCCCAGGGGCACCCCCTCCCGCCCCAAAAAAAGGCCCCATTAATGTCGTCCATGAATCAGCAGGGAGAGGTGGCTAGGGGCCTGGGCTTAGCAATCAGACAGACTGTGGTTAGCGGGCCCGGGGGCCAACGGGCAGCTAGGGACCTGGTCAGGTCTCAGACCGTCTCCAAATCTTGGATTCCTCGTCTCTAAACAGGGATTATATCTGATTCCAAAAAAATGGGTTAATGCACAAAAGGAACTCTACTTAATAAGTGCTCAGTAAGTGCTATTCGTTTATATATTTTTATTGGTTTCAGAGAAGAAGGGAGAGGGAGAGAGAGAGAGAAACATCCATGATGAGAGAGAATCATGGGTCGGCTGCCTCCTGCCTGCCCCACGCTGGGGATGGAGCCCACAACCCTGGCATGTGCCCGTGACCGGGAATCGAACCCTGACCTCCTGGTTCATAGGTCGATGCTCAACCACTGAGCCACGCCGGCAGAGCAATGCTATTACTTTTTTAAAGGTTGTTATTGTGTTTCTTGATTTGTTTTGCAAGTTGTTGGTGAACTTAAGATTATATATATTTCCCCCTAGCAGTATTAAAATAACAGTTAGTTGCCAGGCCAGTGTGGCTCAGTGGTTGAGCGTTGACCTATGAACCAGGAGGTCGAAGTGTGATTCCCGGTCAGGGCACATGCCCAAGTTGGGGGCTCCATCCCCAGTAGGGGGCTTGCCGGAGGAAGGCAATCCATGATTCTCTTTCATGATGGATGTTTCTCTCTCTCTCCCCTTCCTCTTAAAAAAAATACATATATTTTTTAAAAAATTAACAGTTTCTGATTTTTTTTTCTTGCCATAAGCGCAGTAAAGTACCTGAAATCATTAATGCCACTTTCCAGGTGAATAATGAAAGATGGTGAAATATAAACCTGGCCCCCTCCCTACCTCCTTCCTGACATGTGCTGCCGTATTTTCACGCGCTGTAGGGACAGCCCACAATTCCTTTCTCGTCACCCTCGTGCATCAAACATACATGTGCATGTGTAACATATATGCTCTCGTGTATCCTGAAAAATGCGATAATTGGATACTTAAAAAAATGCTTATCTCACCTGGCTGGTGTGGGATGTAGTTTCTTTAAAAAAGAGACCTAAAATACATTTGTCCTGTGGGCAGATAGTCCTTAAAGCTGCTTACAACAATTCTAACTTCTGATGGGCTTGCCTGACCTACAGATTAGAAATACTCCCTTGAGCCCTGGCTGGGTAGGTCAGTGGTTAGAGCGCCGGCCAACTATACCAAGGTTGTAGGTTCGATTCCCGGTCAGGGCACATACAAGGAGCTACCAATGAATGCATAAAGAAGTGGAACAATAGCTCTAGCCAGTGTGGCTCGGTGGATAGAGCGTCGGCCTGGGGACTGAAGGGTCCTGGGTTCGATTCCTGGTCAGGGCACAGGCCCGGGTTGCGGGCTCGATCCCCAGTGGGGGGCGTGCAGGAGGCAGCCGATCCGTGATTCTCTCTCATCATGGATGTCTCTCTCTCTCCCTCTCCCTTCCTCTCTGACATCAATACAAATATATATTTTTTAAGAAGTGGAAGAACAAATCAATGTTCCTCTCTCTCTCCTTCCCTCTCCTGTCTCCCTCCCTCCCTTCCTCTCAATGAAAGTCAGTTGCTATTTGGATGATATGAAGCCATTGGAACAAGACGCACAGACGTCCACATACTTACTGCTGCAGGCCGGCATCTGGCAGGACCGCACCAGGGGGGCCCCCGGGAGCTCCCTGCACAGGGCCTCGCTGACAGGGACCCGCCTGCCCTTGGCCGTCAGCCTCTGGCACACCTGCTTCCTCCACTGGGTCCCAACGCCACAGCTGACGGAGCACTGCGGGGGGAACGGGCGACAGCGTGAACGGAGCCTGCGCAGCGGACGGCTGGGCCAGAGGGGACTGTGGGTACGGGAGCGTCGACACATGGTCGTTCCCTAGCGCCATTGTCTTTAAATATATATATATATGCATATCTATACTAATAAAAGGGTAATACGCTAATTAGACTGGACGTCTTCTAGATATCCTTCCAGACAAAGCCATGGTGGCAGGGGCTGAGGCAGAGGCAGTTAGGGGCGATCAGGCCAGTAGGGGAGAGCAGTTAGGGGCGATCAGGCCAGCAGGGGAGAGCGGTTAGGGGCAATCAGGCCGGCAGGGGAGAGCGGTTAGGGGCGATCAGGCTGGCAGGTGAGCGGTTAGGAGCCAGTGGTCCCGGATTGCAAGAGGGATGTCTGACTGCCGGTTTAGGCCCGATCCCTGTGGGACATCCCCCGAGGGGTCTCGGGTTAGAGAGGGTGCAGGTCGGGCTAAGGGACCACCCCCTCTGTGCATGAATTTTGTGCACTGGGCCTCTAGTATTTATATATATTAATATATTTTTATTGATTTCAGAGAGGAAGGGGGAGAGTGAGAGAGAAAATCACCAATCTCCCTCATCATCGATCGGCTGCCTCCTGCATGTCCCTTACTGGGGATTGAGCCTGCAACCCAGACATGTGCCCTTGACCAGAATCGAACCCGGGACCCTTCATTCCACAGGCTGACGCTCTATCCGCTGAGCCAAACCGACTAGGGCTTAAAAAATATTTTTATTGATTTCAGAGAGGAAGGGAGAGAGAGAGAGAGAGAGAGAGAGAGAAACATCCATGATGAGAGAGAATCATGGATCGGTTGCCTCCTGCATGTCCCCTACTGGGGATCGAACCCGCAAACCGGGCATGTGCCCTGTCCAGGAATCGAACCGTGACCTCCTGGTCCCTAGGTCGGTGCTCAACCCCTGAGCCCCGCCAGCCGGGCTGCCATTGCCTTAAGACATGGAGAGTTTCCCTGTCTTTTCTTCTCTCTCCTTCCCTCCTCCCTGTCTCCTTTCCCTCTGGTCTTTCTTTCCCAGATAGTAATTAACTTCCTGTAATTCACTGTTGGATTTTTTTTTCTTTTGTAACATCTCTTGTAATTGATGTCTAATTTATTTTTAAGCGATTTGTTTATATAGTAAGTTGACTGTCTTAAAAAAAAATTAAAATGACCAAGAATTGCCCGGCCAGTGTGGCTCAGTGGTTGTGCATGCAGCTGTAAACCAGGAGGTCACAGTTCGATTCCCAGTCAAGGGCACATGCCCGGGTTGTGGGCTTGATCCCCAGTGTGGGGCGTGCAAGAGGCAGCCGACCCATGATTCTCTCTCATCATGGATGTTTCTCTCCCTCTCTCTTCCTCTCTGAAATCAATAAACATATTTGAAAAAATGATAAGAATTAAAGACACACAAATATATAAAAGTAAAGTTTTTTTAAAAAAATCATCCAAACTGCTATACATAAAACATCATTAATATGGAATGCTCACTATGTGTGCAAATTGATATTTGATAATCATTGTGTGTACCTGCCAGTTAAAGTTTGAATGACCTATATGAGGAATTTTACATGAGGCATATTGGCAATTTTATTAGGAGAAAAATTAAAGTGAAATTCAATTAAAAGAGTGGCTGAGCCCTGGCTGGTTCTGCTCAGTGGTTAGAATATTGGCTGGAGGACCAAGGGTCATGGGTTCAATTCACATTTAGGGCACAGGCCTGGGTTGCGGGCTTGATCCCCAGTGTGGGGCATGCAGGAGGCAGATGATCCATGTTCTCTCTCAATCATGGATGTTTCTCTCTCCCTCTCCCTCTCCCTTCCTCTCTGAAATAAATAAAAATATCTATAATAATAAAAGCATAATATGCTAATTAGACCAGACATCTTCCGGACGTCCTTCCGGATGACCTTCCGGATGAAGCCTGGGTTGGGAGGGAAGCCTGGGTCCCGGGTGCTAGAGGGAAGCCGGTGCCGGCAGCCGAGGGAAGGAAGGCCTATTCTTGCACAAATTTCGTGCACCGGGCCTCTAGTCTATATATAAAAGCCTAATATACTAATTGTCCCTTTGACTGTTTGACCATTCGACCAGTCGCTATGATGCGCATTGACCACCATGAGGCAGACGCTCCGACTGGTAGGTTAGCTTGCTGCTGGGGTCCGGCCGATTGGGACTGGGTGAGAGGGGCTGGACATGCCTTGCAGCCCTCCTGCAGCCCCTCCCCGGCCCCGATGGTGCAACAGTGGGGTCCCTCAGCCTGGCCTGTGCCCTCTCGAAATCTGGGACCCTCCGGGGATGTTGGAGAGCGGATTTCGGCCAGGCCGAGGGACCCCACGGGTGCACGAATCCATGCACCGGGCCTCTACTGTTTTAATAAAACAAAGCAGGGCCTGCGAAGCCGGGAAGGGCCCTCACCTCGGACCAGTCGCCCGCGGAGAGCTGCGGAGGGCAGTCGATCCTGGCGCAGGACTTACGGGACGAGGCCTTGGGGCCGTGGCACAGTTCATCGGAGAGAGTCAGGAAGCTGCCGTCGGTCAGCAGCTGCCGGCAGGTGACCCTCCGGTGCTGGGTGCCCCCGCAGGACTTACGGGACGAGGCCTTGGGGCCGTGGCACAGTTCATCGGAGAGAGTCAGGAAGCTGCCGTCGGTCAGCAGCTGCCGGCAGGTGACCCTCCGGTGCTGGGTGCCCCCGCCGCACGTCCTGGGACACTGAGGGGCCGGAGGA